ATATGCTTAATTACACCTAGTATAATGCTAAACATAGCACCCTTACCAGGATGCACAAAATAAATAAAGTGCAGATGATCACAGGCGCAGTTCAAAGATATGGTGGCTTGATGTTCAGATGAGAGATGGGACAAGCCAAAGACAGTGATCTAGTATGGCTTTTATAATGAAAACTTCCTTCTTTTTGTCCCCTATGAGATCTACAGCAAATTCTGTATTTCTCACAAATGCAAGTGGATATTTTGGGGAGATGATATATGGAAGGAGATGAGAGGACAATTGATATTTGTATTACATTAACATTTTTTATTTGCATTAGAAATGCCTATGTAAGTTCATACATTTTGAACAATTCATGTTTTTAATGGGAAATGTATCTTCACAAGTAAATAAGAAATTAAATCGCTTACCATGTTTCAATTGGTTAGTTTGATGCTTAACAGTTCTTCCCTTTTCTACCTTGTGTATTTTTTAGAAAACAGCCCAGACCCCTCATGATCGGTAAGATCTGTATATGTCCATAGTATAGTAGAAAGAATGTTAAGAAAAGGTTTTTTGTTTTTAATTTTCTCTCCAAGTGAAATCAAATTTCCCCTGTTTTGGAATGACGTTGGGTTAAGTGGTTGTCACTAGAAAGTCTCTGTGCCTATTATTAGACATGGCTGTTATATTTTTATGCACCTGTTTCACTGTCTTTCTAAGAGAAGGTGACTCAGAAGTGGTCTGTCACAGAAGGAGACGGCATGAGGGCTGGACCAAGAAGATGGCCAGATGGAGAGAACCCTGGTTTGAATGACTTGGTGAGAGGCCTCAGGGACCCTGAGAGTAGCAGGAGAGTGTAGGTTTAAGGTTCTGACTCAAATAACAAGGAAGTGGGAGACTGGTCTAAAGAGATATTTCATCGGCTTCAAAACTGCCTTTTCTATCCTGTCAAATGAAGGGGAGACAAAGGACAAAAGGGATAAAGACTGAGGTTTAATTCCCAGTTATATTTATATTTCAATTAGGTATTTTTCTCTTCTAAATGGTCAGACACTATTATTCTTTCCATGGGAAGTAATTTTTTAGCTACTGTCTCTTTTTAAACTCTCCCATAAAATGGAAAACGTTTGAAAATCCCTGGAGCTGGTTTCCTATTTACTTAGAAACTAGATTCTGTAAGTCATATTTATAACTCTTGGTTTAAATGTAGGCATTCACTCTCGTGCCAGTGTCCTTTGATAACATGAGGTTTAAAAGCTTGAAGGACTGAGTATCTGGAAATAACTAACACTTATGTGGCTTTGTTCTTCTCAGTGTAGAATGTGTGCGCAGAATTAATAGAAGAAAAATGTTGGAATTCTTACTTTGGAAATCCACAAAATACAAATGTTAAAGGGTTGCTTATTAATTAATACAGATTTTAAGCATGTAGATAGTGTTAAGAATTAAATATTTTAGTTTCTCCACAATCTGCTAATCTTTAATAAGAATACATGCATGGAAAACATCTTATTGGTACTGTAGGGAAAGTTTCAGGTGTTTCATTTAAAATTTATTTTATTTATTTTTTGTTTGTACAAATCGATTCTTAAAGGGATCAACAGCCCAACAGAAACAGTGCTAAAGAATGTGAACAAACAATTCACTGAAAAAAGAAAATACACATGGATTTTAAGCACAAGACACAATAGCCAGTTTTACTCCATATTGAATGCAAAACATGAGAGCATTTTTCATTTATCAGATCAGAAAACAAAACAATAGTTTTATAGAGGATTCAGGGAGATGGGCATTTTTATACACATACTGGAAACTATATTTGTAATTTCTATCAAAATATCAAATACACTTACCCTTTGATTTATCAATTTATCCTGCAAAGTTGCACGCATGCTAAGGGGAGTGTGCCAAGGTATTCAGCATGGCGTTGTTTATAATAGCAAAAGCCATGAAAGAACCTGTATGCCCACCAACAGGCATTTGCTACATGAACATGGTCCATCTACACAATGGAAGATCACACAGCAGTGAAAAAACAGAATGAGTTAGATCTTATAGGCTAATATAGGGCCATCTCCAAGGCAAGCGAAAAAGCGAGGAGTAGACAGTGTACATCCTAAGCTCCTGGGTGTGGGGGACAAAGGGTGTGTGTGCAAAATACTGTAAATGCGTGGATTGTCTCCGAAGTATATCAAGAATTTTTTTTTTTTTTTAAACCATAGTCCTTTCTGGGGTATTCTGGGGGGAGACTTAGTCTTGACTGTTTGCTTTTTTTTTGGTTTTTATCAGTTTTTAAAATTTTCAATTACTGTTGACATATCTTATTATATTAGTTTCAGGCGTACACCCCAGTGATTAGACATTACATAACTTAATAAGTTAGCATCCCAATAGATACATCTCACACCCATCTGACACCATGCATAGTTGTTAGACTGTTATTATATTTTTATACTTTAGAGTTATGAGATCTTCATTAAATATAGGAAAATCAATTCTCAGCTTCTAAAATCATGATGAATTTGATTTTTTGTTTTTCTATATTTATTGTTGTATTACAATATGATATTGCACTGCAAAGTAGATGGAGAAACAAATATTTTCATTTATTAAATGAAGAATATATACAAAATATATGTGTGCATGACAAAGGTCTAATTTTGTCATGCACACATAGTAATACAATTATATCCAGTTATAATCATTGCAATTTTGATTAAGTCTTCCTTGGAAACTCATATTAAAAAAAGGCTAGGGTCACCCTGGCCAGTTTTGTGCAGTGGTTAGAGCATCAGCACACAGATCGAGGGTCGCTGGTTCGATTCCCGGTCAAGGACACGTACCTGGGTTGCAGGTTCTCCCTGCCCAGTCGGGGCACATCGGGAGGCAACCAATTGATGTGTCTCTCTCACATCGATGTTTCTTTCTCTCTCCCCTCCCTCTGTCCCTTCCACTCTCTCTATGAAAAGCAATGGGAAAAATATCCTCAAGTGAGGATTAACAACAGCAACAAAAAGTCTAGGGTTAGAAACCGACTTCAGAAAAACAGTGCTTATTTTTTCTTGGAAGAAAAAAAAAAGCTGACATAATTTATCTAAAAGGGAATTATTTTCCCTATTTAGGAAGTTAGAATAGTTTCCTTTTTTCTTTTCTAATTTAAGTTTTGGGGCTAAAAAATAATTTTCTCCAAAGGAGAGAATTCCATAGGTATACATTCTTTATTTCTGTGGATGTGTGGCCTCAATGACAAGTCTGGTTCTATTATTCATGGGAAAAGCATATTTGGAAATAGTAGTCTACACAGTTCAGAGCTTAGCTCTTTAAGCATGTCTTGTTTCCATGCTAAGTCACTGGTTTGGCTAAATTTTTGCAAATATTAAAAAACTAAAATGTTCAAATGGTAAATCACACACAAATAACATGGTAGTGAATAATACGGGGTGGGGCAGAAGTAGATTTACAGTTGCTGATATGGAAAATGCAATAACTTATTGTTGTTTTAATTTGCATCTCTCTGATAATTAATGATGCTGAGCATTCTTTCATATGTCTCTGGGCCATCTGCATGTCCTCTTTGGAGAAGTGTCTATTTAGGTCCTTTGCCCATTTTTTAATTGGATTGCTTGTCTTCCTTTTGTTGAGTTGTATGTGCACTTTATATATTTTGGAAATTGACCTTTTATCAGATGTATCCTTGGCAAATATAATCTCCCATACAGTGGGTTCCCTTTTCATTTTGATGATGGTTTCTTTTGCTGTGCAGAAACTTTTTAGTTTGATGTAGTACCATTTGTTTTTTCCTTTGTTTTTCTTGCCCTAGGCGATGTATCGTTTAAAATTCTGCTATGTGAGATGCCTGATACTTTGGTTCCTACGTTTTCTTCTAGGATTTTGAGGTACCGCGTCAGACTTGCTAGAATGGCTGCCATCAATAAATCCACAAACAAGTGCTGGCAAGGGTGTGGAGAAAGGGGAGCCCTAGTACACTGCTGGTGGGAATGCAGACTGGTGCAGCCACTATGGAAAACAGTGTGGAGTTTCCTCAAAAGATTAAAGATAGAACTGCTATTTAACCCAGTGATCCCACTTCTAGGAATATATCCTAAGAACCCAAAACACCAATCAGAAAGAATATAAGCCCCCCTATGTTCATAGCAGCATTATTTATAATAGCTAAGATCTGGAAACAGTCCAAGTGCCCATCAGTAGATGAGTGGACAAAAAAGCTGTGGGACATTCACACCATGGAATACTATGCAGCTGTAAAAAACAAGGATCTTGTACCGTTTGAGAGAATATGGAGGAATGTGGAGGGTAATATGCTAAGGGAAATAAGCCTGTCAGAGGAAGACAAGTATGACTTTATTTCACTTATATGTGGAATATAATAAACAAAATAAACTGAAAACAAAATTGATTCAGAGACATGGGAGCATGAAACAGAATGATGAATCTCAGGGGGAGGGTGGGGCATAGGAAGAGATTAATCAAAGAATTATATGCATATATGCATAACCCAGGGACACAGATTATAGTGCCATAGGCCTGTATGGGGTAGGGGAGAGGTGGAAGGGGTCAAAGGGGGAAAAAGAGGGACATATGTAATACTTTGAAGAGTAAAGATAAAAAAAGAATATAATACAACAATTAGTAAATAATAATATAAGAGATAACTCTGTGTTTTCTGAACACACATCTGTGTAAACCTACGTTTGCCCCACCTGGTAGGTACAGATTGTTTAAACTCTTAGGTAAAATTTGACAAGATGTTTTACATAACTTTAATGAATTGACAGGTGTTGTGGGGAAAACAGTTCCAGATGGCAAACATACGCAAGGGATTTAGTTAAACAATTTTTTGGCAAGAACATTAAGAATTTTATAATCAGTTGAGAGCTGTTAAAATGCAAAGATGAGTCTAGTTAATAATCTACAATGATTGGTGAAAGAAGTATATTAGTGCTAATTTCTCTCCATTCATCCTATCTTTGTTTTCCACCCCACAAGCCTTTGGCACCATGAAGGGGGTAACTTTCATCTGTATTCTCTTTCTTGTCAGCTCTGCTTCCTCCAGGGGCCTGTTTCGTCGAGATGCACGTAAGAATTCTAGTTTTCTATTGTTCAAATTTATTTTGTTTTCCTAGTAAAAGAAAGTTTCAGTAAACCCAGCATCTTTAAAGAAGTTGTCCTTTAGCATTAAGTTCTGTGATGATATTTTGTATTTGTGAAGCCTTAAGAAGTTATATTTCTAACATCATAAGTGAAAAAAAAAAAAAGGTGAGGATTCTTTAGTAACTGTAATTTCCTTTTACACATGAAGGAACATAGAGTGACTTAAACTTTACAGAATATCGTTGAAGATGGAATTCATAACTCCAAATTCTCAAAGCCCTGTACACTGCACCTTGATGCATTGAAACAACAGCAAATCCTGTGTTGCTAATCTTATAAACAGAGCTAAGATTTTCTGAAGGAATCAGAGCCCAGTAGTTTGGAGCAAATGAATACCTAAGTCAAATGGAAAGAAACATAAACAGTAATATCACAGCCAGTTGTTTTCTTTGGTATTTAAACAAATCTTTTTCCTCCCCAGCCAATAGTCAGCTTGGTCATCGGTACAAGGACCTGGGAGAAGAGCATTTCAAGAGCCTGTAAGTGAAATACTGAGAAGGCAAATTCAGAGTTTCTAACAGCTTGGTTATTTTTATTTTTTTAAATTTATCTTTATTGTTGAAAGTATTACAGGTGTCCCATTTTTTCCCCCCAATTGATCCCTTCCACCTCACTCCCATCCCCTCTCCAGTCCTTCACCCCATTATGGACTGTGTCCATGGGTTATGCATATATGCTTATAACTTCTTTGGTTAATCTCTTCCCACCCTCCACCCCCCTTCCCTCTTTCCTCTGAAATATGATCGTCTGTTGCATGCGTCAATGTCTCTGGATCTATTTAGTTCATCAGATTCTTCTGTTCATT